CGTATGTCTGTGTGCTCCCTTATTTGTGGTTGCAGGGGTTGATTTACAGCTCCTGGCCCCCATATGTGTGTCAGCAAGACTGGAACTAATATTTACTGCGAGTATGTCCAACATATGAGTAACAGAATATGAGAGCCCCATGGGAACCAAGCGAACATGAAATATTGAGCTTCAAGAACCTTGTGGAGCTACAAACATTAAAAACAAGTAGTTTGAAAACTGGTAGAAGGATGAGCCTCAGTTTAAAACTTAGAAGGAATGCTTAGAAAATGACAAGAGTTTAGTGGTAGTTTAATGATATAAACAAAGTATAATGGTATTTATCACAACTCTGCATATTTTGTACCATTGTTGCTAATATTAAAAGTAGAGTAAAATAAAATAATATTTCTTTATTAAGTCTAGGGGCACTAAGATCATAAGCACATCACATCAATTTACTGTACTGTCAACTTCATATTTCGAGTAAGGCATTGCTGACTAACATTCCACAGTGGAAAACTCAGCATCTCTTATTACCTGTCTGAATCCCTTATTGACAATTGAAAATGATCACGAGCCTCAAGATCTAAACAGAAAGAATCTGTCTTGTTATTAATATGGTACAGGACTGTATAAAAGGTTGAAAAGCCTATAGTTGATTCATTAATAGTTGTCAAAAGCACAAAAAGAGTTGAATATGATGTAAGACAAGAAAGGCCAATACTTTCAATTACATAAAAATAAAACCCTTTGTCTATTTTAATGCAGTGGACCCCCGATTTTTGGCCGGTGCGGAAATCGTACAATTTGGATTTCAAGCACTTTTTTCAGTAAAATTACCCCCCCAGGTTTCGTCCATCCACTCAGAAATTGTAGGTATCAGATGCGTCCACCCACCCGGGACATCGCTTCTCACGCATACCACACTCAGTCTGCCTGTCTCTCTCTTTGAGTGAGCAATACTCAGCGCATTCATCCATTGTTTTTTGTGCTTGTTTGTTAATTGCGACTGTGAAATAAGCCACCATGGGGCCAAAGAAAGTTCAGAGTTCCAGCCCTGTGGTAAAAGTGAGAAACACGATAGAATTCAAGAAAGAACTCGTAGAATGAGTTGCAAAGTTTTGTTGAGAAATATCACTACCACCCTCCAGAGGGTGCTAGTGATTGTGATGGTGGTAGAGGGTTGTAGTGATGGTGGTAGAGGGTTGTAGTGATGGTGGTAGAGGGTTGTAGTGATGGTGGTAGAGGGTTGTAGTGATGGTGGTAGAGGGTTGTAGTGATGGTGGTAGAGGGTTGTAGTGATGGTGGTAGAGGGTGGTAGTGATGGCAAACAAACGAAGATGTTGAGAATTTGTTGGTGTGGATCAACAAAAAACAGTTAGCGGGAGATAGTGCTGTGGAGGCGATAAATTGCAAAAAGACAAGGCAGTTGCATACGGATCTCGTAAAGAATATGCCAACAAGAGTCTTCAATAAAGGTGAAACTGATTTAAATGTTCATTCATCCATTAAAATTAGTGCTTTATATTTCTCATTGTTTTCTGTACGTAAAACTATAGTTATTCTCTATAAAATGTATTTTTTGTTAATATTTTTGGGTGTCTGGAATGGATTAATTGGATTTACATTATTTCTTATGGGAAATATTACTTCAGTTTTCATCCATTTTGGATTTTGGCCGACGTTCTGGAACTGATAAGGCTGGAAACCAGGGGTCCACTGTATTACAAATAATTTACAAAATTTAAAAAGAATTTTTGTTTTGTTTTTCTTTTTACAACGATCACCCTGCCTTGGTGAGAGACAGCCGGTTTGTCGGAAGAAGAAGAAAAAAAAAGACTGATCAGTCATTTTTTTTTAAAATTTGCTTGGGCCAACTAAATGATATGAACTAATGAAATAATAATGATCAGGTAATAAATATTTTGTATTTTCACACAGTCCTGCCAGTAAATGTTGTACATTCCTAACATTCACTCTTAGTTGTTCCGTAATGGCAAAAATAAAATCTGAATAGTCAAAAAACTGCTATGGATGCTAAGAAATAGTTTTTAACTTACCACACACACTTCCACACAACTTATCAACACAATACTCAAGGAAATATTTTCCTACCAAGATTATAATTATTTTTTCATTGGCAATATAGCAAATAATTAAAATCTTACAAAACTCAAAAAATATATTATGTAGTGATAAAGAGTCTCATTTATGGCATCACATTAACATTTGAAAATATTTATCATCCACAGCATTGCCAGAAAGCAACAATTACTCTATTCTAGATAAAAATTACAATTATCTCATGAGCTTAACCATAAAATGAACTTAATAATACTAGTGATGAGCGGGGCAGTGAAACAGCTGTGGTGGTATTAATAAAAATGTCCATAACTCTGGAACAGCTGGCAAAGCCTTCTTTAAACATGTATGCATTGATGATTCATGTTATAACCAAAACTATAAGGTGTAATTCTCATTTTCTGTTAACTTTCTGTACTTTACAAAATATTTTCAAGAAATACTAATGAATCCAGTCAATACAATCACTATATGATATTTACATATTAGTCTTATAGTGAATTAACAATGCTGGAAATCATACTGCATTATGGTGTGAATATCAACCAGTATATTTGTGGCACTCATGCAGTTTAATTAAAGTGAAAGTAAATAATAAACAAATAGCTATTTTTAACACTTCTTGCTTCTCATGTTAATTTTAAAATAATTTTCAGGCAATAAATTTTACTTATTAATCATTAAAATATAATTAATGCTTAAAGGAACCAATAAAGCAGTGTAGTGATCAATCAAATGGATTCAATTAGCATATGGCATTTTCACAATATCAAAATATTAAGTTCATTAACAGAGCAACTCCAGAATATGTAATTTGTTATATAACAGGCATATGACAGGAACACCAGGAGAGAAAAGTCATTTACTGACACTGAAATGTAAATGTCATCATAAGAGAAAGTAGTATTTTGGGTATCTCAAATAGCCATGTTTTAATTTTTCTGTTTGAGAATCCAAATTGTTACAGAAATTCTTTGTTTCTTCCCTCTGAAGGTATGCTCAATCTGTAATTTGAGTATTGGCAACAAGTAAAATTTTTCAAAAACAATGTTAATATTTTTGTTGGATTATTTTATCAAAATTCAAGCAGGATATCCCATATCAGTTCCCGTGGTATACCACCTGTTAATGGTTCCATGGATCATTATCACACAGCCTAGTCTAAATTTAAAAGCAAACATTACAGGACCTAGATCTATTAATAAATACACAGAAAGTAAGTATACGTGTATAATGAATGTAAGTACAGCTTCGTAAAATTTAACTGTCATCTTGCATGCTCATGAGACAAAAGAAAGACCAGCAATCCTGCCACTGTAAAAAAAAACTAATGGGCTTCTGCTTCAAACTTATATGATAAGATGGTAGTGTATTTTGGACAGTTGTTCTCTACTGACCTGGTGTTGTTGGCCACTTGATACTTGAAGGTGAAGCCATAGTATAAATGAATACATGTATTTGTTGGAGGAAAAAGAAAGTGAAAAGTCTCCAACAACTGAAAATTATCACAGGCCACCTGGGTTAGCTATACCAACTCCATGACTATGGAATAATTGTAAGATTTATTATTAGAAAAAAAAATCACCCTGAAGGGTCAAGTCAGTTTAGGTGAGAAGAATGTCTGTCTGGAGTAATTTAAATACTGTATATGAATGACTGGAGAAGACACTGCTTTAGTGGGAAACATTGTACAGTGCTGGATATACACAGACATACTGTAATATTATTAAAATCCTAATTTTCAATTAGCACACCAATCAACTTTTTCCCATGCATCTAAAGCAAGTTTCAATTAATTTTTCTACTTAAAAGTGTAAAATTCAGCCTGAAAACTCCAGTTCTGTTACTATTTTTTGAGTAGGTATAGCATGCTGTATCTTATTATGTGTGCTTTACAATGAAGGGATAGTCTTGATTGGTGTATTAGCCAATGGTACAAAGATCTTTTAATAATATGATAATGACATTCATTACATCCCATGCTGGGAGAGGCACTGTTAACAAATAATTTATTCTTAAATGTACATACATAAACAAAACAACATTTATATATAACATGATCATGACTTCAGTCTGTTTATATCCATTTTGCAAATTATGTGCATTACAAAAGTGTGTCAAGCCTTGCCTCATCATCTGTAATAACTATGCCTGGAATGTACGCATTTAATATTGCAAAATATAACGGCAGCTTAAGTGTTATACATTGTAGGATGTATACTGGTCTTAGGCTAATGTTGTGAATACCACATACATATTAAGAAACAACAGGTCTTTAAGGATTATAGTTTTACATCTCATGCATAATTCCCTGAATATATTCACCTAAGCTCTGTCTTCCACTATTTACATAAGGGCTATTCATTCAAAAGCACCTTTTCTTTTTATAGGAATAACAGGCAATGAAGGTTTAATATAAGTACAGTATTCTAAACTTTAATAAAATTTCCTTTCAATTATTAATCAATAACTTCCTATGAAAAATATGTACCCCTCTTAACATTTACAATAATTAAATTTCATGATTACTGGAACTGCTCAGTAATGATTATATGAAAGTTATACATAAGTATTTCAGTGCCATTAGCTGGCTTATACTGCTGCAATTGCAACACATGATGGATACACATATGCAGACACAGGGTGATCTGCAACATACCTAATAAAAAAATTAAAAATAAAAATAAAAATTTACACAAAATTACTACTTCTAAGTACTATACAACAGATCTATATGTAACAGAAAAAACTTCTGACTAATCTTTACGATTACTAAGAAATATACCAAAAGATATAAACACTACAAAATTTTGAAATATCTACTGGAAATTAAAGGAAGAGAATAACCAATTCAGCTGCTTACATATAATGAGAAATAATGTTTGAGGATAGTATCTCACTACATACCTGAGGGTTACTTCAATTTTGTTCCAGAATTATGGACTCTCTATTTCAAGTTCATCCCACCATGAATCAAATGGATCAGGTAAATCTAATTTTACCTCTTCAGCACCATTACCATCATACCACTCCTCATCTTCATTATACTTTGATAATTCATTACTCATGTACCTCACTTCAAACTCCAAGGTGTTTTCTTTCCACACATGTCTACAAGATATTAAATCAGTTTGATCCATTTCATTCTTGTGGTTCAATGACTGACCAGACTTCACATCCTCAGTGTTATTTATACCTGCTAAGTGGTTTGCTCCAGTACTTTTAGCAGAAAATTTTCCACTAAATTCAGAGATTTTACTCGGGTTATCAGATCCAGCTCCACCACATTCCTTAAATTTCTGTGCATCTGGATCATCAGATGGTTTTCTGTTTTCCATGTCATAAACATCGACTCTTTCCCTATTTAAAAAACCTTTATTACCAACATCCTTGACAGTTTCATAGTCAGAATTTACCTCCTCCTTAGTGTTTTTAAGATCATAATCTATAAATTCATTAATATGTAAATAACCAGAATCTAAAAATTCCTTTATGTTTTCATAATCAGAATCATCATATTCTTTTGTGTTTTCAGAGTTGGAGTTGCTGTGACACTCAGTATCCTCAAAATCCAACTTGGAGTCACTGTGGCACTCAGTATCCTCAAAATCTGACTTGGAATCGCTGTGGCACTCGGTATCCTCACACTCTGACTTGGAATCGCTGTGGTACTCAGTATCCTCAAAGTCTAACTTAGAACTGCTGTGGCACTCAATATCATCAAAGTCCAACTTGGAGTCGCTGTGGCACTCAGTATCATCAAAGTCCAACTTGGAATCGCTGTGACACTCAGTATCCTCAAAATCTGACTTGGAATTACTGTGACACTCTGTATCCTCAGAGTCCAGCTTACTGTACTCCTTTGTATTCTCATAGTCAGAATCAGCCACATCCTCAGAGTTTTCAAGTCTGCAGTACTTTGCCAAAGCAGAGGACAAATAATACTGTCTTCAAAAACTTCGACCAGAAAGGGTTGTCGCTGCTCCTCAAGTTGTCATAGTACGTAGCTGCCAGAAAGAAAAATTTCATTAATGAATCTGTGAAGCAATAAGACAGTAACATAGTACTATACATACTATAGTTTTGCTCATAAGCTGTGTGTACCTGAATGGGAAAGTAATCCAGATTCTTAATAGGTCGAAATTATCTTGGCTCCTTTCTCAACTTTTTAAAACCGGGTTAGTATATAACATTTCTAAATATTTAACAATCTGCTTTTTAAATAAGCTATGCACATTCAGAGTTTTAAAAAACCTGATATATTTTAAAAGCTTTTGTTTCTCCTTTTCTTCCTAGGACTCAAAATTTCAGCACTTGTAAATTTGAAGATTCCCACGGGTGAAATAAGTATTGGATTCTGGAATATCTATTATAGAGAGCTAGTGAACTAGATGAGGTGCCAAGCAAGCAAATTTCAAACTAAAGCATAAGAATATTAAAATAGAATGAGATTTGCTTATTTTTTTTTCAGCACAAAGCATGATCAGGAAACAAAAATCAACAGTGATACCTCACTGTCATGATACATGGTCAAAAGCACATAGATGGGGCAGCATCCATCATCATGTTACTTGCAAATTATGATATTCCCCTACCTAGTGCTATATTACTATAAATGCCTAGGAAAAGAAAATGTCACAAAAACCACAGCTGGAGAAATTTCCCTAAAAAATTGGTGAAGAAACTAGACAATATTTAGATCTTTCCTGGACCATAATACAAGAACCTGAAAGATATGACATCATACTGGATATAGAAATAGGGTAGGTAAGTGACATGGTGAAAGGTTAGGCATATATCTAGAGTGGAACAATTTTTATCTGTTGAGGCATTTTATTGTGTAATATTAGCTTTGCAAGTGAATTGGCAAAACTGAAGGATTCATAATTATGTTCTATGGTGTCTGAAGTCTACAAGAATAAAACTTTCGAGCACTGTATCCTGGTCTTGTTGTCTATCAGATCCACCAAAACGTTAAAGAGGGCAAGAGGAACAGGATATCGATATTGATATGGTACTACTACTATTTATACTATTATGACTACTGTTATTACTATTAGTGCTGCTATTAGTACTACTACAGTACTTCATTATTATTATAATCAAAAAGAAGCGCTAAGCCACAAGGGCTATACAGCGCTGCAGGGCAGGAAGGAAGCGAGGGCATCAGGTGGCAAAAGGGAGATGGATGAGTAATAGGTTATGGATAACAGCGGGGCAGTGGATGGTGAAAGGGTAAAGGGCACAAGAGACTGAGCTAGAAAGGCTGAGGGAGTGCGAAAGGTATCTCATCAGAGTTTGTGGAGTAAATCAGTCGTTGTCAAGAAGTCATGAGAGAGTCAGGATTAAAGGAGGGTCCATCAGCAAGAAGGGAAAGGTAAAGAGAGAGTAGTAGAACGAAGACGACGTTGGAGGTAAAAATTTTGCGTGCACGTTGATAGAGAGGGCAGTCTAACAGAATGTGGCTAATCGATACTGGAACTTGACACTGCTAAAAAGAGAGGAACAGGGTGCCTCTCCATGAGATACCCATGAGTAAGATGAGTGTGGCCAATGCAAAGGCGGAGAGAGTGGTCTTCCAACCTCGGCACTGATGACCAAGAAGACGGCCAGTAACCTATGCTCGGTTTAATAGAATGAAGTTTGTTACCAAGCAAGTTGACCAACGTTGTTTGCCAACGGGTGTGAAGGTGGGTAGCTATTGTAGCAAAAACAGTCCAGAAATGGAACACCTCTATAGGAAATTGGTAGGTCACGTACTGCTGACCGCGCAGCAGTGTCTGCCTGTTCTTGCCCTGTACGTTGATATGACCAGGGACCCAACAAAAACAATATCTTTATGCTTGGTAGAGATACGGCGTAGCCAAAGTTGGATACGAGAACTAGGGGTGAGATGTATCAAAATTTTCGATAGCCTGAAAAGCACTAAGGGAGTCTGAGACTACCAAAATGATGACACAGGCATAGATGCGATACGAATAAGGTGCTGCAAGAATGGCATACAATTCAGCAGTAAAAATGCTAACCGAAGATAGTAAATGCCCCGCACGACGCTGTCCGGAACAATGCTGCGAATCCGACGCCGTCTGAAGACTTAGAGCCATCTGTGTACACAGCGATGGCATTTAGAATGAGAGTGAAAATGATTCAAGAAAAAGAGAGCGGGAAGCCACCATAGGCAGTTGGGCTTTCGAGCAAGGGAGTGAGAAAGAACAGACCCCAAACAGCTGGAACTTCCCAAGGGGTAGGGAAAAGTGAGATGCTACATGAACATATAAAGGTGGGAACTAAAGGGAAGACAAGAGCGAATGTAACGAAGAGGAAAGGGACGGAGCAAACAGGGGGGGCAAACAAAAAAAGAATTCTTTTAAAATATGGGGGTGACCATTTAAAAGGGGCGATTGGGGAGCCCCCGTGAGAGCGTACAGAGTACAAAGGGCAAGGGGCATCAGGGCAAATCAGACAAGGATGGCTTTTTGTTCTGCATAGAGGCTTCAACAGGGAAAGAGCGAAAAGCACCAAGGTTTAAGAAAACCTTGGGTGTGGAGGGGGGTTAGGTTTAGAAGGTAGCAGGAAAAGGCCGCTGATAAAATCGGTCCCCAAATAATCGGTTTTCAAATAAAAGGGAAAGGGGCGAAGGGTTTGGCGAAAGGCCAAGAAGTTCGCCATCGTTTCCCCGGGAAAAGAATGAGAAGGGTTTTTTTTAAACCCTTTTTAGGGCCCAAAGGCCAAAACTGAAGTCACGCCCCCGGGGTCCAAAAAATTTTTGAAAAAAAAAAAATTTTTTTTTTTTACAGAATTAAAGAGAAATTTTTTGTGAAGGAAATAAAAAAAAAAAAAAATTAAATCTGATCATACTTACCGAGATACGTCCCCAAGAATTTTTGAAAAAATAAATGGGGTGGCAAAAACCCTCGACTTTTTCCCCACTTACGCGTATTATTTTTTTTTGTTTGTTTTGTTTTTTTTTTCTTTTCTTTTCCAATTTTTTTCTATTCCAAACAAAATTTTGGGGGCTGAGAGAAAATACTTTATAAAATTTTATATTTATAAACTCACTGTATTGAACACAATAACCGCACTGTTTTTATCTTTAATTATTTTTTTCCACTGTTGTTTATTACAAAAAACATGCACAAATATTGTAAAATTTACAAAATTTTCTATCTATATTTACATATTTCCCAATCACTGGGGGGGGGGTTTTTAGAACTGTGGAGTTTGGGGAAAACCCTTGAAAAAAGGGCACCATGAAACAGAGGAAACCTTAAAATTCCTCACACAAAAACCGAGTGTTTTGGGTCTTTGTTGCCTTTCGTTTTTTTTTGTGCCAGACAATGCTCTTTTTCTGAGCAATTTTCCTTTTGATTTTAAAGGGAAAGGGTTAAATTATGAAATGATCCCTTTTCCTTCTCAAACGCTTGGGGTATATTGTATAATTGGGAGGCCAAAGTTGTTTTTGCAGGTGTTGTTACCGGGTACTTCTTTTATGAGTTTCGGAAAACAGGACAAACAAAATTCACCAAACGGGGGTTTCTGTTCCCTTCTTTTTTTGGTTCATATTATTTGCATTCAGCTTTTAAATGTCCAGGGTTGGAAGAAAAGTTTCATGTACAATTGAACTTTTTACAAAACACAGTCAAAAAAAAACCAATCGGGCCATGTCCCCACTGTCAACCAAAAGCGCATGTTTTGTGTATAATCAAATCACTGTAAAGGTTTTCGTTTTCTTTTATTAGTCACTCGTTTAAACCTTTGCCACTGTTTTTTGCTTTTCTTTACGGTGAATGGTTTTAAACCCGGGGAACTCTCGTTTTGTCATCCCACCTTTAATCCCAGGATTTTCTTTGGGCAGAAAACACCTGCCGCCCTCCCAACCCACGAACACCGGCGTTGAGCCTGGGCATATTTTTACGATTAAAGCACTGTGCCACACCCATTTGCCCTTGTTAAATCGCATAAATTTCATGAGTAATGGACTTGTGTACCAGTTTCGTATATAATTAAACCCCCCCCCTTCCCCGATAAAGGGTGGCCCCCCCCCCAAAAAAATGTTTTTTCACAAGGGGTCCCCCTGATTCCCCAAATTTAAAATTTTGGGTTTTCTTTCAATGTTTTACTCCCCTTTGTATACAACAATATCCAACACCGGGGCCACTGTCACAATCACAGGTACAAACTTTTTTAAAACCAAAGGGGTTTTCCCCCTTGCTGGAAATATAAGGGTTAAATGAAAATTCAAAACCTTTGAAAAAAAATAAAAGGACTCGTCAATTAAAAGATTTTTTAATGGAAAAAATATATCCTGAACTTTTTTTTGGATACATGAAAACTTTTCAAATTTTTTATAACCGGTTCACTTCGCCCAGGCCGGGTTTTTTTCAGGAAGTAAACATACTTTAACAGTAAAAAAACCCTGTTCACTGGTATTTTTTCCCAAAAATTTTTGGGGTAAAAAATTGGGCCGATCGGGTTGGACCGTATGCTTTTATATTTTGCTTATAAAACGTGAGGCTTTAAGCATATTTTTTGAAAAAAGCAAATTACTTTTCCCTGCAACAGCCCGTCTTTTTTCCCCCTGTGTAGTTTTTGATGTGGTGAAAAGATTTTATTTGCCATGGTGAAAAGAAATATTTATTATTTTCCCTGAAAATTTAAATTTCCATCAATGGGGGTTTAAAAAGAATAATTAAAAGAATTCCAGTTCTTTGGGGCCGGGGTTTCCCAAAGGGGGCGGGGGAAGGTTTAAATTTCCCCATTTTGCGGGGGTCAAAAAGGGTGGTGAGGGTGGGAACAAAAATTGGGGATTTTCCCTCCCAACCCCCAGATAGGGTTTGCTGGGGGAAAAGGAAAATCATAGGGCCGGGTTGTACGGGGGGTTTGTGGCGGGCGGGTGGTGCGCTCCGTTTTTGTCCTTGAACTACGAGTCAGCAGCGGGGGTTTCCCGCGGGCAAAAGCGAGCCCGGGCATGGCGTGCCACTACCACCACCAGCCCCACTAACACCCC